ACATCTATTTAACTTAAAAAATAGAAAACACATTTATAAAAATGTGAGATAAAATCTTGTGGGACCACCTATTCTTTTCTTCATAACTTCCTCACATGTCAAGTTGTCAATAACATTAATTGCATTTTATTTGCTTCTAGTTCCTAGACTTCTTCCATCCTTTTCAAAATTATATTTTAGTCTCTACTCTTGTTTTTTTTTAATTAAACTCTCATGTAGTAATGATTGCAAACATTTATATTCTTAAGTAAAGAAAAAGCGAGAATGCATCATGCAGTGTCAAAATAATTTTTATTTTTTAAATTCTTTTATTTATAAAAAGAATTTTTCTAACGAGTGTCCCCGCAACATTGGTTAAGATATGTAAATGACATCTTTTTTTTTTCCAAATCCTCATACTTGCAATCCTTCTCCCCTTATCACCTAACCCAACTATCCAAAAAAAAAAACACCTAATTTACTAAGTAATATAAAGTAGCTTGTATATCAATGGTATAATAAGGAGTTTCATACATTTTTAGGTACTACGTGCACATTTTTAGGTACTACCTGCACATGTGATGAAAATATTTTACTTGTCAAATAACATAACATTTCTTGTTAGAACTGCACTTTTATTCAAGACATCACTCTTGAACAGGAGTGCAAAAAATTGGAAACGTAAACTTCTTTTCACTGTAAAGCCGTATTCAATTCATTCAATAGTTATAAAAATGTAGCCAAGTTCTTAATTGTTCATTACTTTACAAAATGATACTTAAAGTAATGACGAAAGATTAAATTGACCACAGCAGTTAAATTTTCTTGGAACTAAACTAATTTTATGAAGTACTGAAATAGAGTAGTAGTACAAGCATTTGTTATTACCAAAAGGTTTTAGGTGATTTAAGGATAGAACTTTGGGGATCTGTATTTTTTGAAAAAAAATATTTGGATCTTAAATTTAGAATTTGGGAGAGTAAATGGATAAATGGATGGATCGTGGTTTACACTATCCATTTAAATGACATCCATTTAGATCCATTTATTAAATAGTTTTAATTGGATTGGATCAATTTGATCCACTATCCATTTAACTAAAACCAGTTATCAACCATATATCCATTTTGCCACTTCTAGTTGCCATCACTAGTCATGTAGCAATTGTTAAGCATGTAATGAATTATTTAGAGTGGCTGGAGTTTCTGACTTGGAAAAACTCTTTGTTGCTGCCCTATCCAATGATTCCAGGGTTTTATCTCTCTCTTATGTCCTTAATACGTGTTTTACTACATCAAATCTTCATCAGCACATCCTTACTATAGTAAAAGCGAGAGTTAGGTTGCTACAGTGAAAATGGACCGGTTATTAGGGGTGGCAATGTCCCCTACCCCACTCCCGCCCCATTGCATTTTAATTCCCCCCGTCCCGCTTCGTGGGATTAAAAAAAATTTATTATATAATTTCATTATAATTAAATTTGAGCAAATAATCAAATACTAAAATATCAACACACACCCAATTATTATTCATTGTATATTCACAATTAAAACTCATAAAAATAATTAAACAAAGATTATTTGAATACAATCTAATATGATAAAACAAATATAACTAAAATAATCAAGTTTTTACTTTTGATAAAAATACAATCACTAAATTATTATTGTATTTTTTTTAGAAAAAAGTGTTATTGTATTAAGTGTAGTTAGGAATTTAACAGAAATGTATTAATAAATTTAGTATAAATAATTAATAATTTTTATTAATAGACATGTATAATTAGTAGTATAATTGATAATATCATTATATATACTAGGGGAAAAAGCCCGCACAACGCGCGGGAGTTTAGTGCTTGTAATTAGAGATGGTTAATAATTATTATTTGATATTTTGTAATATAAGAATTGAAGTATGACAAATTTATTATATAATATTAAACAAAAAAATCATTAGTCAAAATATATAATATGCAATGAAACATAATTATAAGATACGATCAACCACTTTGCATCTAACCTAGTAGAATAAACAACCTACTTATATCCGCTCATGCACTTTAGGAATATTAAAATCTGTTGTTTAGTTTGAATTTAATCTTGATATGAGGGCAATCCACCACATTATCTTGTCATACAAGTGAGATTTTGACAATTACATACTTAAAGAAATCATTGCTGGTGGAATTTCGGTTCTTGCAAGCCAAATTCTTGATTTTATATTGATTTCAAGGATATATTATCACGAAACCTCCACATTGACCAATCAATCAATTATGATTTATTGTATGATTTAGGACATATAGTAAAGAATCTCCTTCTCAATAAGGGTTACAATCACGAAACATCAGTTTTTGAGCTAATTGCAAAGATATACAACACCTAACACACTAATTTAGAGGAATAATTACCTCAAAAAAGTACTAAAGCATCTTAATCCACTCAATTCAAGAAAACAATTAAAAGTAATGAAATACATACTTTAGATTTGCAGCCAAATAGTTTTAAGTAGAAAGTTAAACATATTGGCAAATCAAATGAAGTGAAAATTTGCCTAGATGGAATCATCAATAAAATAATAAACGATTTGAAAATTACCATAACTAATAGTTAAAACAACAAAAGAAGTAGCTACAATCTATAAATGGAAAATTTTATGATGATAAACTTATTTTGAACCACAAATAACAATTAATAAATGTGATCTTCTCCCTATTAAGCTTGTCTAACATGGATAATTGAATTAAAACACTAAACACTTATTGCACATACAAACTTGCAAGATTACAGATTTATTCAACCAAAAAGTAGATTGACTAAAGAAAACATACCTATTAAGAAACAAATAGGTTGCATGATTGTGATGGAACAAAACTATAAGTAAATGAAATGAATTTGAATAGATGGGGGTTGTCATGGTAATGGTCAAGAAACCAAACTTCTCTACTAATTGGTATTAATTATGTCTTAACATCTATATATAATAAGTTTGCAAATAACTGATAAGAAAGGCTTTAGAAAATTAAAAGACTTGGATATTAATACAATTAAATGATTAGAAGAGCTTTTATGTAATTTCACTAAAACATAAGCTGAATTCAGTTGTACCCAATATTGGATCGGATATCGAACACTGTCACATGTCAAACTTACCCCTAGCTTTGAATGTCTGAAAGGACATCTAAGTAATTGCAACAAAACCAAATTAATTACAATGACTCATATTCAATGCTCTAATTGCACTTCAAACACTCTCGCATTCCCAAAATAGCCCCATCCTTGTAGTTGAAATCCAAAAATCATCTTTATCCTAAACTCATCCTTATATAGTACTCCCTCCCTTTTTTTATAACTGACGTTTAAGAAATTTGCTCTAGTATACTTTTATCTGTCGTTTTATTATTTCCATACAGTATTAATTATTTTTTCACAATTTTACCCTTTTATCTCTCTTTTTCAATACAGGGTTCTTAATTACTACTCTTAGTAATTATTGCATTGCTTTTGGCCTAGTAAAACAGCACCATTTAGTACTCTAGTGAGAGAAAACATGGGTGAATTGGACAATTAATGAGGGTACAAAAGGAAAGTAGCGTATAGATTTAAGCAATGAAAAACTTTTCTTAATTGGTGTGCAAAACCTTAAACGTCAGTTATAAAAAAAGGGAGGGAGTATAAGGATATAATTATGTACATATAAATATATTTTTTTTTTCAAACAGGTGGCAGGGTGGGGGTGGGGCGGGGAGCATACCCCCGCCCCTACCCCATTTCTAAACGGGAGGAAAAATCCCCCCCCCAATGACCGCTACCATCCCTACCGGTTATCAAGTAATTTTTAGCAACTTGAGGGCATTTGGTTTTGTTAGTTGGACCGGAGTACTTCTTGGAAGGGTGGGAAGCGGTTGGTGAAAACCTCATTACCATTCATTTTTGACGCATGTTTTCTTTCAGTTTGGGTTAACTAATGCAGCAGTTTATTGTTTTTTAACTGCTAAAATTATGAAGAAGCCACTACTGTTATCTCAAAGATTTCATCTCCAAGAATCATTGATGCACATCACTAAAAACGCATACAAGTTTTCTAACAAGCAAATAGAGAAGGAGGGGAAAGTAATAGCAAAGCCACAAAAAAGGGAGTCCGAGGAGCACGAAGGATTTAGTAAGGATTTCCATTTTCACTGTAGCAACCTAACTCTCGCTTTTAGTATAGTAAGGATTTCTGTTAGCTTATCGGTTTTGAGTTTATCAATTTGCTGATCATAACTGAAGGTCGCATTGATGTGATTTGTTTGTTGTGCTGATGTCTTTTGTTTTTAGGGTAAAGTACATAAAACCCCCCTGTGGTTAAGGAAATTGACACGAAACCTCCTCATTGTTTAGAAACTCCCACTTAAACCCCCTGTGCTTTGGACTTGTTTGGATTTTACCTGCTAACCGGCTGGGGAGCTAGCGAGTGATATTTACACGACTTAATGGTAACTTGTGTCTAGCAAAAACTCATTTCATTCCAATTTTGTCCTCCATGTCTCTTCCAAGCTTACACCCACCATAGTTGTAGATCTGCAAATGAAAAATTTCGACAGAGATGCAAAACGAAGACCCAAAAACCCCTTTTCCTCCAACACCTCAACATATTTCCCCAAATACTCCAAATCCCACTTGTATTTCTTAAGGAATGGCTGCTGCTGGCTTGTGCTACTTTCCCATTTAGCTGCCTGCAGACGCTGTTCTGTGTGTCAAAGTAAAGTAAAGGGAAGAAGTGGGAAGGTGATCGATGTTGGTTGCGTTAATTGCACCGCTGGTCACGGAATTTATGGATATCGCTGATTTAACTTTCCAACGCATTTAAGAGTGGAAATGATCTGAGAAATTCCTAGTGCTGACTTCTCTACGGCACTGACGACTCTCTTTTTTTTCTTTTTCTTTTTTTTCTCTTTACTGCACTGACGACTGGTGGGAAATGATACTGGTGGCCTCTGAGTTTTGTTGGGACTTGGTGGTGAGACTGCGCGGACTAAGCTAGGTAGCCTTCAAAGTATTTGCAATGTCAATTACAAATCGGAACTTGACATCACCCTTTGCTAGACGCTCCATTGCAATGTTCACATACTCCATTGGTATAATCTCAACATCTGCAGTTATTTTGTTATTCGCAGCAAAATCAATCATCTCTTGCGTCTCCGCGATGCCGCCAATGGCACTCCCTCCCACCACCTTCCTGCTCGAAAGCAAGAGAGAGGCTGGAATTTCAAGCGGCTTGTTGGGGATACCAAGCAGGACAAGAACCCCCTGTGACTTCAATAAACCAATCAATGGTCCGAGATCGTGAACCGCCGAGACCGTGTCAATGATCCCATCCAATGTCTCCATACCAGCCTGCATTTTGTCTTTGTCATGGCTAACCAGAAAGGCATCTGCCTGAAGACGTACAATGGCATCATCCTTCTTGCTAGGACTCGTACTGATCACAGTCACTTTAGCACCAAATTCATCAGCGAAAGATTTTCAATCTGTGAAATTCATTCTCAAGTGAAAACATTCTTCCGGCCCCCAAGGGACAGGGAAAGTCAATCACAGTTGATGGATCCAAGCTGACATTCTTCAAAGGCTTTCCCGGACTTAAAGAATTGACTCATTGCATCTGTAACTTTTCAAATATTATATATGAGGGTATTTTTGGTATTTCATATTATTACCGGCTCATCAGCCGGTTAGCAGGTAAAATCCAAACAAGTCCAAAGCACAGGGGGGTTAAGTGGGAGTTTCTAAACAATGAGGAGGTTTCGTGTCAATTTCCTTAACCACAAGGGGGTTTTATGTACTTTACCCTTGTTTTTATGATTAAGGGCTGTATTTTTAGACAGGTCATTCAAACTTATTTGACGTGCACACCATATATTCGCTATATGTCCTCATTTAACATCTACAATCATTGTGTGTTAGTTTTTCTCTGTTTCAGAAAATTGTTTGATGTTTTGGATTGGTTTAATGTAATTTCATCAATGCATGTTTCGATTGTGATATGGTATTTGCTTGTTCTTTTGTTTTTTGTAATTTGTTATGATGTTATGGTTCCCTTCCTGTGTTTACATAGTACATTATATGGTTCACGTAAACTTGAAAATTGCAGAGCAAAAAAACTGGTGTCATTGTCAATGGTTATGAATAAAGAAAATAAGTAAGAGACTTTCGATGCTTAATACCGAAGCCAATGAAAATGTCCACTTGGATAGAAACCAAGTAGTTCTTGATTTGTGATTAGTACATGAATTGGCAACCAAACCCATGAGCATTTTGTTTAACCACTTCGAAACATTCATTTGGTTTTAGATTCTGTTGAAGATAAAATACCTTTCAAATCTTTTGTAACAAGTTGGCAAACTGTTGCAAAATTGACGTAGCCAGATGTAGATTTTATATTGAGCAACAACTTCTTTGATATCAAAACTGGTGGAGCACTAATTTGTCATTTTTTTAACAACTCATTTATAATGTATTGGAGCAATTGATTTTTCTTCTCGTAAACAGCACCTAACTGGTTTTGCGGTTCCTATAACCTTCTCTTATTATAATATCCGTACAGTTTAATCCATTATAAACTAATAAGTTTCCAAAAACAACCAGAAAAGCTACAGAACAGAAAGGAATATATGGAAGGCCAATTCGAGGCTATTTTTCTCTTTTTCTTTCTTTAATTTTCCTTGTGTAAGACGTGGCCAGGCATTTCATACTTTCTGTTTCACTTTGTGTTTGTGTGTGTGTGTGTGTGTGTTTTATCTTTTTCCTATTTTACTTTGTGGGTTTAGCTAATGTAGTTTGTAATCTAGCCTATAAATATATCCAATTCATTTTCTATATTTGAGGTTTAAAACATTAGAAATTACGCAGGAAACTAATCAAATTAAAAGGTGTTGAACATCAAATTTGCAAGTTCTTTTTTTTTTTTGAATGAGTTTAATTAGGTTGTCAAGAGACAAACTATTATAAACTAATTACATTAAGGTATTTGTATTCCAGAGGCATTACAACTAAATTTTCTATCCAAAACCAAGTAACAAGAAAAATATAGGTGATTTTCTAAACACATTGAGAGGTTATTACAGTTGGTGTAGGTGTTATTCCTAACTTCAATAAATGAATGGTGGTCTAACAATATGAACTTGTTAGCCCTGAATTTATGCAATGTAAAGCTAAGAAAAGATGATGTGTTTTTTTTAGACAATTAGCTATACTTTTTTTTTTTGAGTCTGAGCAAGCTTAGACTGACGAAATATGCCATGGTAGTGAAATTAGTTCCAAAGATTCTTTGATGTTAAATTCAGGCCACTTCAGAAAAGCGTTCAGCATGATTGATGGGTTAAATGTATAATTTTTTGTTCTCTTTTTTTTTTCTAGGAAAGGAAGTCAGTTTTTGTCCCAAGTCACTTATGAAATTTCACGCAAGTAGCTAACTCTTGAATTTAGAATAATAATTTCATGCAAGTAGCTAACTCTTGAATTTAAAATAATTGGATTTCCCCACTTTTGCGTGATTTCTTTTTCCCTTGCATATTTTGTCTCTTCAAACCAAATTAAAAAAAAAAAAAAGAGAAAAAAATGAGAGGCAGGGTCTTGTTCGAGGAATAGGGATGAGCTATTGTTTGCCGAGAACCACTATTGTGGTGGCTAAATTTCTTCATCCGAAGAGCACGGTGAAGTTCCTTCATTTTTTGGGTTATCTGATCTTGTTCTCCAATTAATTGGGTATCCATGAAACAAACATAGAACACACTCTCATCTCAGGAGCAACTTAAACGATTGAAGAACTCATTCTCATTTCAGACATTTCATTCTCTAGAATCATTAACCATAGAAAATGATGGATATTGTGAATGGATGAAAAGTTGAATTCAATCAAATACAGTTGCGATTGTCGCCTCTTGGTTATAAATGTTCCATAACAGCTAATTTCTGCTATGTTTACTCTTTGCAGTATTTTTCTCCATCCTAATTAGTGCCCAAAACCTATTTGTAAAATGCCTTAAAGCCAGATTCAGTTTTCTGAATTTAATTAAGATAAAATGTTGCATACTTATACTAGGTGTTCTAAGGATTGCAGATAGAGAGAGCTTATTTGTTTTAAACCAAGTTTAGAACCAAGATAGAGAGAACTCATATTAGAGGGAACTGATTTGTTTTAAGCCAAGTTTACCATCGTTAACATATTTTTGTAGCCTTGGACAAGGTTGGAACATTTACTATCTTTAGAGTCAAAAGCAATACAATCATAGTTACAAAATGCACCTCCTCATGCCAATGTATTGAATAGGGCTGGTCACTTCTTGGTTATAAATGTTCCGTAGCAGCTAATTTCTGCTCTGTGTTCATATTTCATTCTGTTTTCTATTTTTTAAGTTCTGTTTTCTTACTCACCTTTATTTGGTGATTTGATGTTTTGATTTCAGATTTCCAAGTCAACAAAGGGTAATAAGATCTCCTGTTTTATTCCGGTGAACCATTGTCTCAGGGCCAACTTCTTCTTCCAATTGAAAGCTTCCATTTCCTGATTTTGCAAGGTGAGCTCTTTGCTTTATTTTGCCTTTTCGTGATTTTGTCCTTGTAAAGAAAGGCCTAATGAGTCAGAGTGTTCAAATCAGCGCAATGGTTCACTGAAGGATGTTATTAATTCTTGATAGCATATGGGAGGTACAAACGTTATTATTTATTTATTTATTAATTGTGTTTGTGCTAATAATTTAGTTGGTTATGCATTCTTATTGAAACCTTTTTACATATGTATAGTTGAGCTTTTCTAAATAGGTCGCCGATGAAAATATGCAAGCTTAGAAGAAGCGCATAGAGAAAGGATTAGAAAGAGACGTGAGCAACGTGCCGTGCCAGTCCGAGTGCTAAGCAGGACCACCGTGGGTAGATATCAAGGTGTATGTATTATGGCTATAAGTGCATTTAACATATGTGAATCGAGCATGACGGGGACAACAGGTGATATCAGCCACCATACCATATTCATGTATTGAGTATGACTTAATAAACCAGGAAAAGGATTCTCTCACATCATAATTATTAAGTATGCAAGTGTTTTCCACGAAATTACTCGCACTTAAAAAAAACTAGTGGTACCTAAATACAAGCACTTATATGACGTGTGATTTGATTCATGTAAGTTATCAGTATATATTGCTTATACGTCCTATATTCAACATCCAAATTTACCTTAAAATCTCAAAAAAAAAAAAAATCTATTAAATCCATTATTAAGTTGTTCTTTTGAGAGTATTATGTTGATTTTTCGTGTGATTTTTTTTTTATTAACTCATGTAAGTTGAAAGGGAAAAGCATGCATCTAAAAAAAAGAAATGTGGAAACAATTTGATAGGCTTCGCAAGTTGTATAGGTTTTGCAGATTATGTGCTGTGTTGTTCCTTTGTCCTCATATATGGCTTCCATATCCTTGTTTTTATTATTTTTATTTTTATTATTATTTATTGATAATTTCGGTTGCGAAGTCAATTTTTGCATCAGATACTTCTTCTTATGTATGCAATATTCCCTTTCTTTTGGCGCGAGCAAAAAAGAATCAAAATTAAAATAAACACCTACCACAGCCACAGACTCAATTTCATCAAAATGATCACATGCAGCTCAATTTTTTATAGCCTGAAAAGTTAAAGATTAAAAGTAGCGTTAGAATAGTAGGTGTCAAGATCTTAATCCCATTCTTAGATTTCTAAGAATTACTAACTCAATGTCAACCATAAGTTGGAATTAATAGGATCTCTAGATATTCTAAAATGTTGGTTGTACCATTATAATCTTGTGATTTACGTCCATATGTTGTAATATCAAAAAATATTTTCATGAATTAAAGAGTCATATATTATATCTAGTCAAACCATTAATGTTATTTTTCTAATTTTTTGTCAAAAAAAAAATAAATTGAGTATATGGTACCCAAATTTTGTTTAGTATTGCAGCATAATTATTGAAAAATTTAGAAACTTTTTTTTTAAACAATTACATTTTCTACATTTCTTTACGCATATTTTCATGAACTACCATCTTAAAATAAATAAAAAGCTATACTTTTTTTAGAGTAAATCATTGGTACTCTATTACTATGTGGATTGTAATTTTTTCAGAAAAAATTTTTCGTTTTCCGTGAACACATTTTTCAATCAATTTTTTTATTTCACATACATCAAATCGTTATAATACATTTTTTTTATAAAAAATCCTAAAAATAACAATTCAAACGGGCTTATTTTATACTAATGGCTTATCATTTTGTACCATCCTACCTATCAAGGTTGGTGACCTCTTATAATTAGTTGGCCATTCTTTCAAAATCATTTAACTTCTTTTTATTTTTTATAAAAAAAGTAAATCTCATTATTGGATTGTTTGAAATCATCTAACACAATTTGATTTACATTACTACTCTAATGGTAAGACAAAAATATACTAAGAACAAATCTGTAATTTAACAACTGTAATCAATCTAAAAATTATAATTAAATTTGAAACATACAAGAAATTTAAAAATTACATTCTGATAAAAATAAATCACTGCAACTCATTATGTGCATGTTGTAATTGCCAAGTCTAGTTTTAAACTCCAATAATGATAATGAAATTT